CATGATACTGTTTTAGGCTTCGTGTTATTTTTCACTGTGGTGTTAAGGCTGTTTGTTTGGTCCTTTCCTAATAAACACATTTATTCATGTTACACAGATTTGAAATTTGATAATAAGGTAAAGCATGCAAGTCTCAAGCATAGCAGCATCCACAATAAAAAAGTAATAAATGACTGAAATTTCATTAAGATAAGGACATGCAGAGCTAGAATTAGGACTGTTAAAAAACTAAAACCAGTATCCTTACCTCCTCTTCTTTCTGAGAAACCACAAAGAAGAGATGGAAAGAGAGAGAAATCTCAAGAATACAGCTTCTCCACACCATTAATTATGGCAGTTAGAAGAATCAAGCGCTTTGGACAGACTTTGCCTGGATTCAGGAAAGCGCTTTAACATGGGTTTAAGTTTACCCTCTGTTTGGAAAGTACTTAAGTATAGGCTTAACTTCGAGCAGACGTTTAAGTCCCCTTGACTTTAGCATGTGCTCAAGTGCTACCTACAAAGGAAGCATTTTCCTGAAGCAGGAGACCATCTTGTCTTAGGCACTGGATTAGCTGTCAAGAGACAGGAATTTGTTCTTGTCTCTACCCCAGCCACTGACAGGGTGAGCCCAGGCAAAAATCCCCGTGCGTCAGTTTTATCACCTGTAAAATAGAGCTAACTGCAAAATGCTCCAATGTTGATGCATGAAAAGCATTACATTTAAGCACGCATTCATATCAGTATACTCAGGGCATTCTTGCACTGTCCTTTCAAACAACTGGTGCTGGCAACTGCTGAACAATGAAGAATCTCAGTTGCACATCCTCCTTATCCTTCCCTATTAATTCAGAACAGTAATTACTATATTGGCTGATTTCCACTTCTTATACACCTTCTAGAAGCACCTTTTTACATATTTTATTTTAGCATTAAAAATTCCATTGACGTTAAAGGGTTATTAAGTTGTTGGATGCATTTTACACCTTCATACGTGAAGAGAGTTTGGATTTTCATTAGTTAGAGCTAACACCAGTTTTCAATAAAATATTAACCAAACACACACAGTAATAGTTCATGTGGATCTATCCACTACTTCAATAAAATTAACAGACTTAGATATTTACTCTTGCCCCTGCAGTAATATTTTCCCACATTACATTTCAAACAATGAAATGACACTAAATTCATTTAAAACAAATTTATATTGTTGTTATTTTAAACAATACTTAATTTAATTTCAGTGTTTGGCATGCAAAGTTTGAAAATATCAATATTATTGTTTAATATATAAAAAAATAATTCAGCTACAAATTATTAGCATATGCAAGCTTCCCAAATGACTTCCAGGGCTGCTATTTACATTAAACCTGAAAATGAGCACAACCAGCCAGATGTAACTATGCCATTCAGAGAAGGGGATGCTAAGATTTAAAAGGAAAAAACAGGGCATTCAGTCCCAGTTTCAGTCCTTTCACCTGCACTGAGTGGTAGCTTGTCCAGGGGGGTGTCACCACAGGTTTGCTGTGGCTGAACTGAGCAGAGGAACAAAAACGTGAAGAGAGATGTGGAGACAACCAATACATTGCTCACTGTGGAGCTTTTTGGGCTGCATTTGTCACCAGCAAACCTCTAAATATGTGGCAAATTCATCATTTCCCTCACAGATGGAGAAACTGAGGCACCACAGTTCTTCTTACATGGACGACACTGGAGATATGGCCACATGGATGGGGGACACAAGCCTGTTCTCACAGCCACAGTCCAGTCCTCACCTCCCTGTCTCCATGGCTTCTTGTACAGTATGGTCTGCCCCAGTGATGACAAAACAAGAGTGTGGTGCTGGCTACCTTAACAGGTAGATAAATTCCACTTCAGGCAAGCGCCGTTTGAAACAGCAAATGTTTCAAAGCCTGTAAACCATGTGGAGAGTCAAGGTAAATAACATGCACACATGTCCCTGAATGCTCCACCAACAGGAAGGAGATGCTCCATCACTTGGAAACAAGCTGCTCCTTGAAAATTGCCAGGATGGCTCTTGCTGAGCTTTCCTGCTAATGACAGCAAATTGGTAGAGCCTGGGAACGCCTGCAACAAGCCAATGACTCAAGACAATCTTTGAGAAAATCACAAAATATGTTTAGATTTGATCTTTACCTGTGAACATTGTCCTTTAAACCCCTTTTAACAAAGAAGCTTTGTTAAAGCTAGTCTTTGAGGATGCCTTCCACACATTCAGCACTCAGAGGAGCTCTGATTCAGAATAAAACAAGTGGCTGGAAGAGTGTGTGGGTATTTAGCTAATTATATGTTTGATAAATTTGTGTTTTAAAACAATGCTGCTTGTCTCCTCCCTTTGCAGAGTGCCAGTTCCCATGGATTGGCAATTAGATGTAATTAGGTCTTGTGATTTCCACATTTGTCTTCATGTCACAAAGCTTGCTACTAAAAATGCTCATTTTGATTGTAGGCGTTTTCTAATTGCTTACAGCCTGGAGCAGTAATAGAAACCATTGGCAGCCACAGCACCTGACTTTCCTGTTGAATCAAGGAGCTACTTGCTGCTCAGCTTTCCAGGAGGACTTTGCCTCTGAAGAAGTCTCAGCCAGTACTTTGTCTGGGTCAGCTGCACTGAAGTCAAAGACGGGAACTTACAGCCTGCTGGCTGACGTGTCAAATCAACTAGTAACCTGGGAGGAGGGTGGGAAGTTAAAGACCAAATTCCATAGCTGCTAAAAATTTAGAGAGGAGGTATTGAGCTCTTTTTCTCAGAATAACATGTCAGTGTTAGAGCGATAATCTACAAAACTTTCAGAATTCGCGTCTGTGAATGTTACTTGGTCCCATGCAAGACATTTTTGTGCAGCTAGTAGAAGGGACAGATATGCTGTGCACTTCCAAGGTGGAAAGGACAAGAAGGAATGGGATTAGGAGCCAAAGGAAAATATGAATTAGCCATTAGGCAAAATCTCTGCAGAGTGAGAATTGTGAAGCAGTGAGCTAGGCTGGTGGTGGTATAGTTTCTTCTAAACTGAAGATCCTTAAGAATGGTTAGGGAAATAGCTAGCAGAAGTAATTTTAGTTTTGTTGGGTACTGGGTCTGGGAGGTTGCCTAAATAGCTTCCTAAAAGCCTTTTGAGCCTTATTCTTTGGTTTTATGAGTACCACAGATCTTTCTCAGCCCACCATTGTTTCAGTCTGGGTGCATTTGTCATGTAAGTCAAAGGGGCACCAGTTCCCTCTCCTGGCTGGATCTTCTAAGTTCTTAAATGCATTCCCCTGAAGAGTGCATAGCAGAAGGGTGCATTTGACAAGCACAATTTGAGATAAGCAGCCCTGAGGAGTTTTAGGACACTGAAGAAAGAAAATAATCTTCTGGTTTCTTCTTTGCACAAAAAAGATTTAAAATAACTCCATCCCCTCTGGTCTGCAGAAAGAGACACTCTAAACCAGATAATCTCCAGCTCTTAGACAGAATGCTTTCTCTGTTGATCTGGAAGATCTTTGCTAAGGAGGTCAGCAGTGTGATCCTGTTTTGCTGATGCAGACAGGTGTGCAGATCTGAGTTGTGGCCATGCTACCAGGTTAGCGGAGATGGGAGCTGCTTTGTCTGTTCCGAGGCAGGTCTAGGCTGTGCTCACACCTTCTTGCGAATGGAGAGCACGACACCTCCAGCCTGTGCATCTGTGTGGGCATACCAGCTGGGCCCCAGCAGAGCTAAGCTTGCCATGTCTAAGTCCATCAGCAGACACCATAAGACCAGTTCTTTCTTAGCACACTGAAGACGCTTTGTGCCTCACTGACTGCTTGGCAACATGGGCGAGAGTCATGAGCGGGTCACAAAATATAGTAATTTACTCTCAGTCCTCTTCCTCGCCATGCTGTGTAGACATACAACTAGCAACTGGTTTATGTTCACCCCACAGGTCACAGGGTGAAGCAGAAGCAGAGCTAAAGACATCATCTGGTTGTCCTGATGCTTTCCAGTGAGGTATCTTTGCCTGGAGCAAGCACACGTATGGATGATGATGCGTGTGTTTGTGCACATTCCACCTGCAGAGACTGCAGCTCTTTGTCTAGCAAATGCTGCTGTGACAAAACTGTTCCCTATCACTCTCTTTTGTTAAATATTTGCTACAACACTAGCTCAGTGCTTTTCTTAAACTCCACAATCTTGGATTTAGGACTGACAATAGAGAAGAAGCACAGAAAGAGTGTATGTGTTCACAGGGATAACTCCTAAAATTTCGAAGTCTGATGGTCCTAACATCACATGAGACTTTATTTGTTTCTTCAGTTAAGCTTTGTGAAGAAAAAAAAAAAATGCCTAAAAACTATCTAGTTTATTTTTGTCTGGAACTGCAGGGCAGATGAGTTTTCCAGAAGGGATAGAAGGCTGCCATTGATTTTATTATTGAGTCAGTTTTAATGAGTCACAGTATTTTTGGAAGGCTTTTAAGATTACTGTAAAGTGCTTAGTTACAGTGGCTACAGGTGCCAAGGCAGGAAAGGCAACAACAAAAAAATACACAGCAGCTGTATTGCTACACTTCTGAGAACTGGGATCAGCAGAACAACACACATGGAAAATGCAAAAGAAAATAGGAGAAAATGTAAGAGATGAGAGAAGTCAGCATGGTCAGCTGCTATGCTACAGCAAAATGCATTTTATTTAGGGGACTGTCCAATGCCCTTTAGCCACAAGTTGGAAAAGGCCTCTGGCAGACTGTGGATTGCCAAGACATTCAGTGAATTGCATGTTTGCCTTTCAAGCTGTCCTTTGGTTGCAAGTCATTTGCTCCCATAGCTGCCAAGCTCTACCACTGCCATCCTGTGTTGAATGAAACTGGAAACATCTCATTTAGCAGATGAGAGAAGAGAAGGTAGAGAAGGGAGAAAGAGGTGGCATGAAGAGAAGAAAAAAATGCATTTTTTGTTGTAACTGGAACAAATTCCCTTTTTCTTTTTGCCTGTGCTCTTCTGAAATACATAGGGCATAGCATTCAAAGAGCTCACAGACATACTCTATCTTATAAGGCAAGAAAATATTCAATGTTTTGTACTAAAAAGAATGTACTAAGAAGTACATTCTGAAGATGTGGGGATGCAAATCAAACAACCTCAAAAATACAGGGCTAGAGAAAACGTTTACAGTTATCATACAATGTGTTTGCTAGATTTTCAGATGCTTCCCGTGATAATTGGACTCAGAGTTAAGTAGAAACAGCAACCATGATTTCAGTGAGCCAGCTCTGAGTAGGATCCACTGAACATGCACACATCTGCCTCTGCCTTGGCATAGCAAGTGGCTGCATGCACAGCTGGATACTTGCATATGCAAATACTGGTTTGTATGTACAGATAGCTGCGTGCAGCCCAGAAATCAGTTCTGACTTGGAGGCCCATTTCAGCCTCCTCCTGCTGCCCCCACCCCCTTCACCAGATGGGCACACGCAGAATATTCTCCAGGCTGCAACAACAGCATCATGAAGGGTCACCACCGACTTCACAGCATCTTCCAGCATCCTCACCAACCACATTGCTTGCCTTGGAGATGCCACATAGCAACCTGGGCACCAGACACCCTGTGTCTGCAAACAGGCATGCACGAGAAAGGCAGTGAGAGCAAAGGAAACTACTTATTGTCTCCGGTGGGGTGGAGTCGCAGCGGATCCAGTCCTGTGTCTGCTTTTCATGCGTGACTGGCATGAGTCCCACCGCTAAGTCCTTGGCTGACGGCCATGTGCAGAGTGGCAGGCACCTGTCCCTGCTGGGAGACCTGGCGACCCCGACCTGCCCTAATGGTTAGTTCTTTTCTAACATCATGTCTACTTGAATTTACCTCAGGATTTCCCCCCTCCGGGTGCCAGGGAGCTAGGCTGATGCCAACTGCTTCACCATGGATAAAGCAAGGAGCGTTCCCAAGCTGCACTTGGGCACCCTTGAAGCATTCAGCTGTACTCTCCTCACTGGAACAGATGGGGCACATGAAGGTGTTAGTGTCTTCCACCACATCAGCAAAATACCCCAGCACTGGGATAAAGTCAGGAGGGAAAAACAAATCCCAGCAGGGCTCCCTCTCCACTGTCCTTAAAATGCAGTTTGAGACGTGCTGAGGAGCTTGCCTGGCTCCATGCTCCCAGCTTGGGGTGGCAACGGGCCTAAAATCTCTCCCCCACATCCTTCACACAAGGACATTATCCTGTACCCACAAGTCTGAGAGTTATGGGCTGCATTTTGGTTCATTTTCTTTGGGACGCCTGTTCCATCTTTTCCCTGTCAGCTCTTTCACTCCTGCAGCAGCACCTTGCAAATACAGATCAAAACCTTTCACAAGTGGCTCTGCTGGAAAGGAGGACAAGGAATTTCGTTGCACAGGAGACAAAACAGAGACCAGCCAGAAAAGATTTTATTTGCAGAAAGTTTAGGGCAGAGATAGGGCTAGGACATGGATGTCCTTATTCTGCAGCCTGTTTCTTACATAAAACTCTACTTTCTTCAGCGTTACAAATGTGAGTGGAAATATTTTCAAAGCGTGGAGAATTTTTGAGTGATCTCCCATTATTTCAGCTTTATTTATGGTCTCTTGTCCCAGTATAGGCACTTTTCACTTATCCTTCTGAAGAAAAAGAACAGAAGCTTTTGCTTTCTGTCAAATAATCTGCATTGGAAATTGGCAAGCTCTGTGCACCTCATCCTCAGTTTGGTGGCATGAAGTTCATCAGATAGAAAGAATGACAAATGGGGTTGAAGAGAACTTACTCTGCATGGTTGCCTCTTGCCAATGAAAATGGAGCTATACCATGTGCAACAGAAGCTGCCTGCTCTGTGATGAGGAAGATAGGGTGGCTGAAGGCAGAGCACCTCAGCTCTACTGCCTTGTTTCAGACACTCAGTGGCTCTCAAGCCGCCTTTCTCTTCAAGCAACCATGGACCACAGTTTCTTTTGTCTGTCATGCTCCCCCTGACCTCAGATATTCCTGGACCAAACCGTCATCTGCAAGACGGATACAGTACCTGCCGCCTGGAAGCTTTACATCAGCAGGCTCCACTGCAAAAGAAATAACATGAGGAAAACTGAAGATCCAAATCCTCTCTCTTAGAAATCAATGCTCGTTTTGTATTTAGGTTCACAGAGGTTCAGGAGCCAGCATAACCAGGGCTGGAAAATAGAAAGGACTGAGCAAAAAGTGCTTTGTGCTAGGACCACAGACCAAGACTGAAGTCAGTAATATTCTCAGGCCTGTTCATCTGTAAAAAGAGGCTAAAAACAGCCTAACAGCAGTGAGATGAAGGAAAAGCCATCATTTAGGGCAGTGGCAACTCATTAACCCAAATGACCTGCATCTCTGGTGAGCACTGACCCAAGGACTTGCGAATTTACCTCCACTACCCAATAAACTGTTGCTGCCCAGCTTCTCTAATTAAAATAGTCCTGGATTTGCAGGACCTACCCAGAGAATAAACTGGAATTTATCAGATTAGCTAAGCCAGATCATACGTAGAGCATACAGGCTGGCCAACAGCCTACTTTGGACCAGATTAAGCAGCTAAAATAATTAGGGATTTTTTGCAAAGTCTGCCCCTAAAGACTGGCATTAAAGAAATCTACTAAAGACTGAGCATATATTGCAGCCCATTCCTTTTTACCCTATTTAGTTCTTAACTTGGTGTTCTTTGGCAATTGCTGGGAATCATCTTTTTATCTTTCACTAACCAGGGAAAAAAAATTCTCTCTCTGCAGCTCCTTCAGGTGATCTGTGTCAATGGGAACTGGTGAATCTCTGAAAGAGTAAGGAGGCTATATTTAATGTATTCTTTACTCCAAAACTCTGGTCCCCCTATTCCTGTGCTCTGGTCCCTGAATTGTCAGCCTTGTGTAACGAGGAATGATTAGTGGGGAATCTATGGACTGACTGACAGCAGAGCTGTATTTTGTCCTGATCATGTAAGATGTCCCTTCTGGAAAAGGATGAGGAGGTTAAGAAAGTCTTGCAGCCTGAAAAAGACAGAACCCTGGGGGCTACATGTGAAACGGGGGTCTTTCTACTGGTCTCCTCAGGGGTAAGGTGGTGCACTGGTGCATCCCTCCACCCGCTCTCACCCAGTTACGTGCAAGGGAGCCAGCAGTGACATTCTGGCAGATGTTTCTTCAGTGCAATACGGGCTTTGCTGCCACTCAGGCAAAACAGGTTTTGCTACCAGAGCCAAAGGACTGCAGCCACGGGGAGGAGAAGAAGGAGGAGCAGAGCCAGGAGGCACCTGAGAGCTGGATTTCCTGCTCTTCCCTCTTCTCACCCTCCCTTAGCAGCCTCTGCCCAAGCCAGACAGCAGAGCCACGGGCATCTTGTTCCCCTCTGTGGGTGCAACCAGCCACTTGGCTTGTGCTTGGAGCAGGCCTTGTGCATTCTCAGCACTGCTTTGAACCTATATACAGTCACTTCAGAGGGGAATCAAGCCTGAAGCCTTCTGGGACATTTCTATGAGGCTCTGCTTTTTTGTGTCACTGGTTTCAGCCTTTCCCTTTTCCTTCAACATTTACAGGTTTTTTCCACTACACAGAAGTCATATTTAAAAAAAAAAAAGTGTAAAACATCCTAAAACCAGGAAAGCTGCATTTCTGATGGCCTCAGCTGTGAGATGCACCAGCATTCACTCACCTCCATTCTCCTTATCAAGAATCTGTCTGAGCACAGCCAACACCAGAACAGAAGGCAGCAGGTGACAAGGGGGGAAATAAGATGCTGCTGTCCTTGAGCCAGTGCTGGTCTGGAGTCGTTGTCCCTGAACAGTGAGGCAGCAGAAAGAAGGGTAAGTCGTTAAAGGAAAGAAAAAGACCTTTTCCCACTAGTTTTGACTTTGTCAAGGACACCAGGAGATTCCTGTTTTGTTATAAACTGAAAATAGAAAAAACACCTAACAGTCAGCCTTTTCATAGAAAAGAGCCATACCTTCATCAGAGCTCTGACCGGTTCAGTCAGTGGCTCCTGTATCATCACATCTCTGCCTAGCCTGTAGGTCACTCTCCTCCTTCTCTTGCCACTCTGGAATGTACTGGTTTGAAAAACGTGAAAACCCCATGCCTCTCTCACCAGCTGAAAGCATATTTTCTTTCTCAGGAGCACACGTCCATCCGAGCTCAAAGATGCAGGTTTATTTCAGCTGTGGCATTTGCAGCCCTGTATGCACAACCTAACTTTTCTGCACCTGTAATAGCCACTCAAAACAATTCTGCACCTCCAGGCTAACTAAGGGAATCTGTTGCTTGCTGCTGGTTAGAGGGTATGACCTCACACAAACAAACTAAATGCTAACTGGCCTGCAAATGAATCTTTGCATCTGCTTTTTGGGCAGAGGGACAGCTGCCACAGCAGGAGAGAACTGCTCAGACCCAGCATTCAGCCTTGGCTGCAGGGACCTGGCTCCTGAATTTCCACATGTTAAATTTCTACTGATGTAAATGAGGGAGCTCCATAAACCAAACAGTACAAATCTGAGCAGTAAGGTTTTTCTCCTAGGTGTTCAAAGGGCCCATGCAGCTTTAGCTATGTTCTCACAAAGAATACTCAGAGGGCTTGCTATAGGATCCAGGGCTGAACCCCGAATCTTTCACTGAAGTTAGCATTCATCCTCTTTTCTAGAAGTGAGTCCAGAAGCTGACCTAAGACACCCGCCGGGGGGATATTATATAACAATGGAGTCTGTGTAGTTTATGTAAAAACACTTAACATCACAGCTGCTTCCCTCCCCTACACCCTTAGCAAAATTTTCCTTCCCTCTCCCATTTAAATACCTGTTTTTTGATCATTTCACAGGGTTGGCAGAACAAGCACAATGGAAATAATGTTTGCTCGGATCTGTTTTTGAGTGTGTGTATGTGTGTGCATGACTTTTTGGCAGAATCAGTGTTTGCAAGAAGCAGATAAAACTTTCGCGTTCAAGAATCACTGACAGCCAGGAATTGCTGCCTGCTAGCAAATCTCTACTTACCGAGGGAGATCATGTCATTGTTAGCCAGGTAGAGTGGCTGGAGACAGAAATCTAGAGAGCTCCCTCGTTAGTCTATAAATTAAATAGTTGTTTAGCAATAACTCTAAGATAGTAAATCTCTGTGTGTGAACTCACTTCAAGATAAAATCCAAACTTGGTTTGCCCTGCTCATACAGCACAGATGCATATGCATCCTGGAAGCTACATAACCCAGTAATATTTTATTCACATCACACTCCAAGGAGCTCACTGACTGGAATTCAATAGAAACTGTTCTCTGTGTGAAAGTAATTTCAGAAAGTAATCTAGTTTATGGAAATGAAAGGCATCAAAACACAAAAAACACTGTTTCTGTACAAGTGCTTTGCTTCAAATATTTGACATGGAAATTTATATAATCCCTCTGGGGCACATGGGTTTCACGAGTGTTAACATCTTTTGAAATGAATTTCACAAATGTTTATTTGGAATACCAGGCATACAAATAATTTAGAATATCAAGGCATCTTTTGAATCAGACTTAATGATACAGATCTCACATGGCTGCAAAGGTTAAAAGATATGAATTTTAATTGGGTGTATGGAAGATGTCATTTTCAATCATTGCACTGCACTGCCAAAGCTATCACTTTTCCATTCTAAGCTTCCTGCTACCTCCTCCTCAACTCCTTCTATTACTTAAAGACCAAAATGAAACATTTTTCACATTTTATTTGTGTGCTGGGCATGTATTAAATACAGAGGTTTGCTGCCTATCTTGGTTTATACAGGACCCCATCACCTCTGTATTGCTACACTTCTCAAGCAATAAAGAGGTTGACTTTTTCCAGACAGATAGCGGTATATTGTCATTCCAGTTTTATATAAACTTAAATGATTAAAGGCAAACAGTGTCAAGGCCATCTACAGCATAAACAGTTGCTAAGACTCTGGTCAAAGTCAGATTTTACAGCTGCCTTCTCTCTCCCCTGCTCCCACAGTGGGTCCTACTTACAATACAGTATAAATCAGACATGAAATTCTTTCACCATTTAAAATCTATATTTTAATTGATAGATCCACTTCTGGCTTTGGATAATGTGATGGATAAGCCTGAAAAGAAAAACTAGCTGGGTACCTGTTAAGAAGTCTTTGTCCATCCTCTGTGGCAAAGGAGCAAGGATCCTGTGGGAAAAGATATCGTGTGATTGAGTAATTAAAAATTATCATAAGCCATAGGCATCAGGAAGGCAAATTAAGCCTGCAAAGGCAACATGAGTTCTGAGCGTTCAATATTGCAATTTTAAGTTTCATTTTAAGTTTGTTCAGAACCTAGATTTGTAATCAGCTAGATTTTATCCAAGATACTGTTTTTCTGTATATTGCCAAAAGAAAGGAACTTGGGAGGGAAAAATGAAGGGCAGTTTGTTCATATGGAACAAGGTATTTGGGTCCCTCAGTGGCTCACTCACTGGTAAACTTCAGATGTGCTCAGCCAATGTGAGGGAGCTAAGCTGGGCATGTTCTGGGGAAAAACGGCCTTGGGCCAGAGCAGGCACTGTGCAAACCGTGACTTCAGAGAAATGAAGCAGCCAAATTTCAAGAAACCTCTAAAGAACATGCACACTACTGATAATTTGGCCAAACATGGGTGTATTTCAAGAAGGGCATGAAAAACACTTTGTTCACAGGCAGCATACAGCCAATTTCCCTTCTACTCCCAAGTGTGAAGATAAAAGCTCAGCAAATGGCTCTGAGATTTTTTTTTCTCTTTTTGCAAGCAAATTTTGTTCCAAGACTCACCATTGTTTTCTTTGAAATGTCCATTGTCAGCATCAGGAGCAAAATGAGTGTGAGGCAACCATCCAACCCACACTAGCCTGAACCGCTGGAAGAAAAGAAACATCAGTCTTCTAGGAGGACACATTAAAGATGCCCTGCTGAATTGTCAGGTCTACCTACACCTAGGGTAATTCTGATTTCAAACACATTTATGTGCTAGGATTGGTGGCCTGAACTATTTAACAGCAACCTTTCTGGTCAGGCAACTGCCAGTGAGATCAGTGACTTTGCACACTATTTAGAACAAGATAAGAATAATATGTGGTTGTGCTTCCTGAGAATAGTTCTCCAGCCTCTGGCAATCTTTGCCTTTGGGATTTATGGAGATACTGGCCATAAACAACAACAATTGAAGGGGACTGACCCCCTGTGAGTGGGAGATGCTGCACAGGACCTCTGATAAAAGGGGAATCCAACAACCTTTGGGGCTGGATTCAACACCTTCACAAGCAGAAGGTATTTCCCAATATCATCCTAAAAAACTCTCTTATTTTAGAGGATGCAGATTGGCCACAAAATTCACCTCTTTTTCTTGCCCTCAGTTTTCCAGCCAAGCCACACGGGGGGTAGCTGGGCCTTGATGCTGCAGCCTGGTGGTGCATGTCTCCTCTCCACAGTGTGTGAGCACACGCTCCCCACTACCAGCCTTGAAACTCCCCCCTCATTAAAGCAGGCTAGGAGGAACACAAAGCCCTGTGTTTTGCTTGAGTCTCTCCTGTGAATAGGTGGAACAAAAGGTAAGCACAGAAAGCAAGAAGAAAAGTTGTCCAAACGGGCCATCAGTTTCCCTCATGGGAGAGGCTTTCCAAGCACTCCCCTTCCTCTCTGCCCTGCTTGGATGGGAGTGAGCTTTTTGATGAGCAACCAGGACATCCCTTCATCTCCCCACTTGTGTCAATTTTCTTTCCCCCTTCTATTGCATGTATGTCCACCCTTGCAGCCTTGCAACACATGGCAGGCTATACCAGGACATGAATGGCAAAGAAGGTCAAGCTGGCTTCCGAAACTCCTCCATTAGCAGAGCAGTGGCAGCAGCATCCCTTGAAAGAAAACGTCAGCAGGAGATCCTCAGATTCTTTTCTGATAAATGCTTGTGAGTCGTGATGTGTTTTCTGTGCTACAAACACCCCTTTCAAAACAACAGAGCAGGGAAGAAAAGGAGGGCAGTACCTGTCACAAAGCTGCTGGATGTTCTGGAAAGCAAGTTCCGGTTGCAGGCTGCAGGCAGTAAAATACTTTGCTGTCAGTGAGATGGCAAAATGCATCTCTTACAATGAAATGACATTGCTGCCCTCCCTTTGGGAAGTGAGTCACCTGGTGCTGCTGCTGGTTTTCAGTAAGGATTGCTGTATTTGCAGTCAGTAACACATGGAAGAATGGTCCTAAGGACAGTCAAAGCATCAGGGTGACAGAGTGGAGCTGATGCTCAGTGCAAAGCGGGGCAGAGGCTGTCTGATCCTGCAGTGGCTGCCAATAATTTGTCCCTTAGCTGAGCTGTGTGCTTGGGGTGTGGAGCATCCTTTTTGTTCCCAAGATCATACCTATTTGTTGATATGAAAGGGGTGTATGGGTTCTCAGAGAGGGTTTCACCATTTCAGAGGTGTGCTCAACCCCAGCTTTACATTGCACATAGACATTGCACATAGACATTGGTGCCATTTTAATGGTTAGTTCCACTTTTTCTCAAGACTTTAGTGTGCTGCAACTGCATCTGCCTAAGCATTTGCTGGTTTTACAGGTATCTGAGAACTGCTCAGACCAAACTCATGGGTACAGAGGAGTTCTTCCTGAGTCCTCCTCTTCAGTAAACCTATTAATAACAAAGCAGCATCTGGAAACCAAATGTTAACACGTGCTCACTGGTCCAGAAGGTCTGCTCAGGTAGTAACAGTATAACGTGTGATTTAAGTGCCAAGCATGGACTGATGCATTATTTCATTTATTGATGGCTGTGTGTGTAACACACTGATTTTACACAATCTAAAGAATATGGGAACCAGTTCAGAAAGAAATCTTTCAGGCTCAGGGTATAGATGTGTCTGTATATACTATATATAAACCATAGGATATAAGCCTCTGGAAAAATCTAGAGACCTTACTAAGGAAAAGGTCTGCAAGGTCCCACAAATAAATGGCTTCAGAGAAGCTGAGAAGCTAACAGACATAGGAAAAAAGGAATGAGTATCTTCTTACAAGCCTGCAGCAGAAAATGTGCATCAGGCAGGGGGGAATGTTTTGAGTTATCACATCCAAACTCCTGCTTCCCGTCACATCATACATTCCCTTATCAAACCAAGTGCCAAGATGCCATCTTGTATTACAGAATGTCGAATAGGCATCCATTGGACTGGCTATGTCAAATACAAAATTTGAAATACT